CCCCCTCGATTCCCCCCTTTCCCTCCCCTTCCTTTCCCCCAAAACGATACGTTGTAGGCTAGAGTAATATGAGCATGAACATTGTAAGTTGTAAGTTCTGAAAGGTCACTGCAAGAGTTCATGGGTTGAAGAAAATAAAGAACAACTTAGTGAAAGAACATGTACGTGAACATTATAGGCCAAATGTTCATAGTAATGCACTATATTTAGATTTGGGGATATTGCTAAGCAGCTATTTATATCGTTTGGGAATACCTGTTTATTGTTCGTATGCCATGTTGCCCTTATTTTATTTGTTAAAAGTAAAATTCCTTATTTGTTGCCTTTATCTTTTGCACCTTTGTTTTTACGGAAAAATTTGTTCCGAATCGAATACACATTATATTTCTTATAACATTTTTACGTAGAAAGTGCAGCTCCGACGGGGTTTTTTAGTTTTAGAATACTTCGTTCGCGTTCAATCCTTTACCTTCTCTCAAATGGAACACTTAACTGGTAGGTCTATGGGATTTGCTCATGACGTATCGATCGTTGGGGGACCGGCTCGATGACCTGGCCAGACCTCTAGCTACTTGTCCCCGCCCACTTCTGACCCTAAACGAGTCTCTCCCAGGCAACTTGTTTACTGTTAAACTTCCTTCATACTGTGCAGTTGCGGTGGTTGTAAGTAGAATGTTCACTTATTTGTGAGCTATAAATTACCTTTTAGTTTTTCAAATAGCTGGGGGATGATATTGTTAGTTGAATCTGCTGTTGTTTGTGCAGGTATTAGAATCTAGGTCTAGATCTAGATCTAGATATATCTAAATCTAGTATTGCTTTCAAGAGGTAAAGTGTAAAGTAGTTTCAAGAGATCTGCTTGAGACGACGACGAAGATCACAGTAGACAGAAAACTGAATTCTTTTGTTGGTATGAATTACGTTTTGAGTTGTCGAACTGAATCGGAATCTTCTCATTCGCAAAGTGACTTTTATCTGGATAAGCTGTTATAATTATAACTGTTTTCTGAGCAGTATGAAAAGCCCGTTTTACGCAGTAGTGGTTTCGAAGGTTTTTGTCCAAGTGTAGTCGCAGAAGCGAAATCATGCATAATGAGGCCATCAGCGACGCAGACCTTGAGCAAGTTACTATAAATAGAGAATGTTTAGGCAAGATTCGTCAGCTACTATAACTGAAAATATTTCAGCCTGTTGCATTTACCACATAGATCTAGAACAGAATAGGCCAGCCTATTTATTTCACATTTTGAACAAAATCTCGTGAATTTTGCACAGAAGTTGAGGTGAGTTCTGTTCAATTCATGCCGTGGCAATCGTTTAGATAAACGTGCGAACAAGGCCAAGTTCGCGGACATCTGTGACTCAGTTGGTCTAGCCTAGGCTATCGGCTTAACCATCATTGCGAGATAGAAGTGGGCAGGTTAACCACTCGCGCAAGTCTTTGCATTATTGTCAGGATTGATTGGTGAGTTATCTATATAAGCTGATCCAAAGAAGACGTGTTCAGTAAACCTGGCAAGAGCCTAGCGTTGTTAGTGCATGCCTGCCAGTCTGCACTCTACAAATATATATCTATAGGTTCTGAAAGAAGCTGAAAGTTGAAACAAGTGATCATTGCAGTTGTTAGATCTTTCATGTGCAGACCTTTGCAGACCAGACAAGAATTTGAATCTAGATCTAGATTAGTCTTGTCTACTCATTTTTATTATTGAAAAAAAAAACAACCCAACCCAAACCATATAGATCTAGATTAGATCTAGTCGTATAGATCTAGATCTAGACTCTAGATATCTAAATCTGCCTGAGATGGATTCTTGAAAGACTCAAAAAGATTTTTAGGCAGGGCTATTGGTGAAGCCCAGGCCTGGCTCGTGACCTTCCCAGGGTTAATTGTGCAATATTATAGGCCTACAATTCTTTGTTGTTATACAGGTCTTTATTTTGAAAAAGTAGCCTAACTCATCTGTTTCATATACTTCATTAAGGTTCTCAACTAATTATTGAAGATGACATCCCGTAAAGAAGATAATGCGATTTTTCGCATCCCGCCCTACTATTACATCCATGTGTTGGACCAAAACACCAATGTCACCAGAATTGAGATTGGTCCCCAGACCTTCATTCGCCAGGATAACCAAAGGTACGTGCTGTTTTTTGTGGAAGAAACAAAAAAAACACCCCTTGTCGACACTAGGTGTTGTCGGGAAATGTAGATTTGGCAAAGCACTTTAATTAATAAGTTTAATTGGTATTGATATGGTAATCATTTTACTCTCTGCCTGTGTGCTATAGAATTCTCTTTCTGTGGATTCAATGTGCCTATTGAAGGACGGTACTGTCATATAGTTATTTTTAGTGTACCAAATGAGTAAAATTTAAAATCTGGTGGTTTTAAATAGGCCTACAATCTTTTGCCTTGAAATAATTGTGATGTTTGTGGAAAGACCATGATACAATGATGACATGGTGCTGCAGTATTCTTGATTCCTATAAATTTGGTTAAGTTGTGCAATACTTTGTTTCTCTTTAGGGTTACTCTTGGGCCAGAGAAAATGGTGGTTGTCCCACCTCGCCATTATTGCATGATTGAGAACCCAGTGTTCAGAGACAAAGATGGCAAACCTGTCATTGATCAGCTGGGACAGACGAAGCTTCAGCATGCAGATCTGGAGATTCGTCTCACACAAGATCCCTTCCCCCTCTTTCCAGGGGAGGTTTTGAAACAGGTATACAGACAATATTTTGGGTTTGTTTTATCTTTTTTTTTTGTGGGGGGGGGGGAGGTGGAGAGGAGGAAGGGAGGGGGAGGGTATCTATATAGAGGTATAATAATAATAATAATAGATAGCATTTAAATAGCTCAAATTCACGATCAACAGCAAGCTCTAGGTACTTAACAATCTATATTATTACCTCAGCAGACCTGATAGCATTCTGAAACAATCTCAACTTCCTGGGAGTGAAGCATACAGTGAGTAAAAGAATACAATTGTCAGTGCTTTTAATGAAACTGTTTTTCCGCATTTATGATGTGTAGATAAGAGTTATTGTAAAAAGGTGGAGGGGAACCTGATGCAACGGCAGACATTGGTTTGCTTCTATTATCTGCTTTAATAAATGAAGGGTAGGTAGTTTAGTAATTCCTTGGCTGTTGTCGCAGTACGTTGCTTTGTTAATGATTGTAGGCTTTGGTGTGGAGCAAAAAATAAGTACTCCGAAAAGTTATGGCTCAAATTATCTTTTTAAATAAATGGGATTTGACCTGTAGACCCTATATATCTCTATAGTGTGCAATTTTTATTTTTACTTTTTTTATTCATAATGCTCATTATCTAAATGTGCCTTCCCTTGTGAAGTTTTGTGAAAATAAATTTAGTTAGCTTGTCTGTAAGATAAGTTATCTGGTTTGGAAAAACAGAAACTGAAATATCATTCTTGTAGTGTGATTTCTCTTTCTTTGTACATCCTTGATAAATAACTTGTGTTCATAACATGTCTGGGTTTTTTTCATTAAAAAAAAAAGTTCCCTGAGAAGTCATGTTACTGTGGTCATGTTACTGTGGTCATGTTACTGTGGTCATGTTACTGTGGTCATGTTACTGTGATGGCAATAATAACTGAATTTGGTTGTGCTCTTTTTACTTTTCAGCCTGTTACGGCTTTGAAAGTGGTTCCAGCTAATGCTGCTCTCAGAATACGCGCAGTTCTCGACTATGAGGATGCTGAGGGAGAAAAACGCACAGCTGGAGATGAGTGGCTCTTTGAGGGTCCAGGTATGTAAATCTATGGGTATTCATCAAATTATGTGGAGATGAAATTTATCAGTATACAGTTGAAACAGTTTTAACGGCCACGTGTATAAGACAATCGTCTATACAAGTGGCTGCTTCCCATTTTTTCTTTGCAATTTTTAGAGAATTGTAATGACACTGTGTTAGATGGCCACTTTTCTTCTCTACAGTGGGAGGTCGTCTTGGACAATTTTGACGATACGTGTTTCTCCCATTCTGCATTTGACATGTATCGTTAACATGACAATTTGAAATATGTTATTGATTTGTGCCAACCTACAATTATATCTTACACTTCCACCTTTTTTATTCTTGAGTTGATTCTGTTCAGTATTACATGAATCTTAAAAGTGTTTTCCTGCTTATCCAGGCACTTACATTCCCCGTAAGGAATGTATGATTGAAGAAACGATACGGGCAACAGTCATTGGACCAAACCAGGCCATCCGACTGCGTGCCAGGAAAGAATGCATCGACAGAGACAACATCCGACGTGTCACAGGGGAAGAGTGGTTGGTGAAGAGGACTGGTGCATACTTACCAGGAGCATACGAAGAAGTAGTCGATCTCGTCAATGCCTATGTTCTCACTGAAAAGGTGGGTCTTACTTCCTTTGCAATGCATCAGAGACTTATATCCAACATGTGAACATGAATGGTGTTATTGCTTAAAACAAATTTGGTACAAAAAATGTCCTGTGAAAATGGTATTGTAGCAGAGTATGGTTTTTAATCTGAGTCAATGTTGGTAACACTAGAGAAATATCGAAAAGGAGTCTGCTAATGTGAAGAAAATGGATGTGTGATATGTTTCTTTTTCTTTTCACAAATACTGTATCTCGTAAACTTTTTCTCAGTTGTGCTTGTGATATACCATGACTTTAAAAAGCACATGAGAAAAAACGTTGTCCTTGTGTGGTAAACTAGAAGTCGACAAATCAGTTGGAAAAGTTGAGTTTGAAACAAGATTTTGAAAACCTTTTTTGACGACAAATTGACGACTTCCATGAGATCAACCATTGTGTATGCAAATTACTTTTTAAAAATCTTTTTACAGAGCATATGTGCTCCTGCAGGTATTTGTTTACAATGCTGAATCAAATTGTTAAAGTGGATGTGCTCAGTGGATTTTGTATTGGACATTTTTAGTGTATATTATTCCAATGTAATGCTTTGAATCTGTTTGCATCAACAGAAAGCTCTTCACATGAGGGCGCTGATGACTTTCAAAGATGACTTTGGCATTGTGCGCAAGAATGGGGAAGAGTGGTTGATCACAATGACAGACACAGAGACGCACATTCCAAATGTGTATGAGGAGGTAAGCAGCTTTCTTCTGAATTGTTTTTGAGTTGGTTTGTTCATAATTTTTGGGGCAATCGGTTTTTGTTTTTTCTGTAGGTTTACATTTTTTGTTGTTGATGTGTATGTATTTTCAGATTGCTTTTCTCAGATTCTAAGATTCAAGCATCAAAACAGAATTTTATGAGAATGGTTGTAGGCCTATCTATGTTATCAAATATATGACCTAATGTAAAAAAGTTATTTTTGGACACAAAGAAAAGTATATGTCATGGCTTGGATAAAACTTTTGTTATTCAGTAACATTTCATTGGTGGTTATTCTCAACAAGTTTGTTAAAGAACAACTTTGGTCAGTTGTTAATTTTCAAAATTCACACATTTTCTTAACCACTGTTTTGTTTTGTTTTCTGCAGGTGGTTGGTGTTGTGAATATCACACCATTGAGCAATCGTCAATATTGTGTGATTCTGGATCCCGTTGATGATAAGGGGAGACCACAGCTGGGCCAGAAGAAACTTGTCAAAGTGAGTCTAGACATCGTAACACAGTAATTACTCACTTTTGCTTTGTGAACCAACTGGGGTAACCCGCTTATAACCCAACTTTGTGTTTCACATAGGGAGTATAATTTGACTCTAAAATCAGCCCATTTTTTGTAGGTCATGCATACGATGAATTTTTTACATATATATTGGAGGGGGCTCAACTCGCATGAAATCAAGCACTAGTTGAGCATCAACTACGTGTAAAGTGTCTTGCCAGTAAGGACTGTTGGTTGTTGCACTGAGAGGGATTTTAATATGTGACAGATAGATAATTGTGCAATGGAAAATCTTTTCTGGCATTATTTCCCCTTTGTTGAGCCCAATCCTGTCTGTATGTTGTTGATGGAGGAGGCGTATACAGTACAGCCTCATTAAAAAAAATTATCGTTCGTATTACAGGCGGGTTTGTACAATAATGAAAGTTATAGATCATTTAATAAATGGAGATGCAATTCACATTTAAGTAGAACTTTAAATTTCGAAAACCTTTTTTTTTATGTTGCACATTCACTTCAATTTTCTTACTCTCCAGCATTATGTCAGAAGAATTATTGTTGTTTTGGAATTTATGACAGTTAATCTATAGAACTGGATGACTGAGGAAACTGGAGTATAACATGTAGTTAATGATTTTCAAAACATTTCTGAACTATTTCCAGGGAGAGAAATCTTTCTTCTTAATGCCTGGAGAGAAACTGGAGAAAGGAATTCAGAATGTCTACATCTTGGGAGAAGATGAGGGCCTCATTCTCAGAGCCAATGAAAGTTTTATGGATGGAGTAAGTATATCATAACTTGTGTATAATATCTGTAAGTTAGTTTGCACTTATATATATATATAATATATCAGTTACAAAATTATTGTAAAGAGTTCAGAGAACTTTGCTGTTTTAATGTTACTTCGAGAGTCTCGTCTTTTACTAGCTGTTGGATTAACTACAGAAGGAAAGTGACTCATGATATGCTTTTCCTGACAAAGAAGTTGCAAACGCTGTAAAACTCTTACTAAAACTAAAACTAAGAACATACATTATCCTTATCTCTGTTCCTTTTTTTCTCCTTATGTCAGTCACTCTCTTGTATCGCCTCTAATCTTTGGCACCTGTGTGAGCTATTTGCGTCTCAAGTGTCGTAAAACTTTTACTAAAACTGAACTAAAATAACCCGTATTCTTTCTTTCATCAGCAAATCAATCGCAATCCAGGAGACCGTTGGATGATCAAGGGGCCTACGGAGTATGTGCCTCCCGTGGAGGTGGAAGTCGTCCTGAAGAGGCAGGCTATTCCTCTGGATGAGAACGAGGGAATTTACGTCAGGGATATCAAGAGTGGAAAGGTACGCTATTGGCAGTCCACCTCTCATTCAACACATCCTGTGTTCGAAACCTACTGACCAGCAGATTTCAGTTTAAGCAAACTGTGCTGTATCTGTTCTATGTGCGAAGAAAAACCCAGCTATGCTGTAAACTAATGTGAAAACAACCAACTTGATCCCTGCATTCTGAAATGACCCTATGCAGTTGCGAGTGCCGCAAAATTCTTCATCATCATCGCCTTTCTCACCCTGCACCAGGGTATAGGTCACGGACAAACACTTTCCACCTTTCCTGGACGCTTCTTGATGTTAGTCCCTGTCTTCCCATTTTTCTGTACATCAATTTCTGTGATTCTTCTCTAGGTTCCACGTGGTCCTCCCTTTGATCTTTTACCCTGTGGCGTAAAACTCTTACCAAACTGAAAAAAAACTGAACTGCTGTACTTGAACTTTGACCTGTGCGCTGTTCCCCAGGTTCGGGCCATTCAAGGCGAGACGTACATGATCAACCAGGATGAGGAGTTGTGGGCCAAGGAACTCCCACCCACAGTGGAGTCCCTCCTGAGTGCCGGCAAGGACCCTCTGGCTGACCGCAGTGACAGGAAGTCAACTGACCACAGCCCCAAGACCCGAGACAAAACTCGAGTTGTGACCTTCCGTGTCCCCCACAATGCCGCTGTCCAGATTTATGATTATAAGGAGAAGAAAGCCAGGTATGTTTAAATTGTACTATGGGGGCTCTCATGGTCTAAAGTTACGGTGTACATCTCTCATTCAACACATCCCGTGTTCGAAACCTGACAGCATCGGGAAATTTTCTTCTCTTAAATTTTCTCCTTTCACCTCCGTTCCTGTTCTCTTACCGTGTTCTGTCGTCTGCTTTCATCTCCACTTTCTGCCCCCTCAATGAGCAAAATGAGAAAATGCCTTTTTTTAAAGCTGTGGGCAGATGCTCTTAATTGGTTTTCTCTTTTTGTCCTATCAACATCATAGGTCCTTCTCTCTCCTCCTTCTTTTCTTTGGGTATATTACTCTCTAGTGACACCTTGAATCTTTTACACTTATATTGCAAGTAATGTAAAACTCTTAATTAACTAAAAACTACATAACCTTGCAGTGTCGCAAGGGGTTTTCCACCTACACAATCGCATGGTTATATGACCCTATGCAATTGCAAGTGCAATAAAACTCTTACAAAAACAAAATGAAACAAAACCACATTAATTAACCTATGCCATTTCACTAATTTCTTTCGTTTGTTTTTTTGTGGGTGGCTGGCGGGTGCTCTGGTGTGGTTTGCTCCTTCTTTCGTATCAAATATCTATCAGTCCTTATCTCTCCTCCTCCTTTTTTGTGTATGATACTCTCTTGTAACACATCTATTCTTCGGCACTTCAATGACCTTATTGTGTTACAAGTGACGTAAAACTCGTACTAAAAATAAAACTAATTTTTTTTCCGCTTTCAGGGTCGTGTTTGGCCCCGAGCTGGTCATGCTGGGACCGGACGAGCAGTTCACTCAGCTCAGTCTGTCCGGGGGGAAGCCCAAGAAGCCCAACTTGATCAAAGCTCTGTGTCTGCTGCTGGGCCCCGACTTCTGCACAGACATCATCGTCGTGGAAACGGCCGACCACGCCAGGCTTTCGCTGCAGCTGTCGTACAACTGGTGGGTATGGCGGCCTGTGCCGCTGGGGTGCTTTTTTATTTTATGTGAGTTGCGTCTCCTTATTTGTATGAATAGATTTCCAAGAAATAAAATTGTGGGTGTATCACGGTCTGCTAGCTTAGTTTTGACAAATAAATCTGAAGATTAAACATAACTGAGTATTTTGCATTTCAGAAGAATCCAGTTTGTAGAGATGTTGTGGGAAAAAGTGGGTGATTTTTTTGTTCAGATGAAATTAAGATACTTTGGGGTTGGGTTTTTTTTCCAAATGTAAATAGATAGAAACTTTGTTTTCAACTTTTACATTTTCTCACTCTTTTCTTTTAAACCCAGGCACTTTGAGACTCTGAGCAAATCCCCGGAGGAAGCTGCCAAAATTTTTAGTGTTCCCGACTTCACCGGTGACTCTTGCAAAGCCATTGCCTCTCGCGTCAGAGGTGCTGTAGCACAAGTGCAATTTGACGATTTCCACAAGGTGAGACTGAAAGAAGAGAAACACAAAACACATTTTTGTCCTTGTCCCAAAACTTTGTTGTTACGATCATAAATGATGTCGGATAATTTTAATTCAACTGTTTGGTCTACATGTTTACTATCAGACTAAAAAAGTAAAAAGAGAAAGTAATTTTTATACTGTTTAACCCATTTCGTTTAGATTTGAAACGAAATTTTGAGCAAGTCATCCAGATTGGAGAGGCCAAAGAAATATTTGGAGAGGAAATGGAATTTCAGATTTTAAACTTGAAATATTCCCGCGGGACAACTGACAAATTGCTCAATTTTCTCCCATCTTCCCAATACCATATCTTACTTTTCTGTCAGTGATTAGTCTTGTTACTTTTATGGTCTGGTTGGATGAATGAAGAAACTGATTGTACTGAAATATTTATTGGATAACACAGCACACTGTTTCAAAACTTTTGCAAACAATGTGGGTCCCTTGTGGTTGGAAGGTTGGGTGCTTTTACATTTCAAAAGGCTGTCACAGTTTCTTTACTCTTTAAAAAGATTTATTTCGCATTTTTATAGTCCCCTCCATCTTTTTCTTCCTCTGCCAGTTTTGAAACAGACACCAGAAATCATATTTATCATCATCATCATCATCATCATCATCATCATCATCATCACCACCATCACCATCACCATCATCATCATCATCATCATCATCATCATCATCATCATCATCATCATCATCATCTTTGCCTTTCTCACCTTGGACCAGGGTATAGGCCATGGACAAACATTTTCCTTTTTTCAGTATCCTGAGCTAGCTTCTTGACATTATTCCATGTCTTTCCATTTTTCTGTACATAATTCTCAACCTTATTCAGTACCATTTTTACACAATTTCTTCATCAACTTCATCGTCCTCGCCAACATCATCATCATCATCATAGACCGAACAATTTTCCTTTTTTTTTTTTTTTCTTGAAGCACAGCAATTGTCTGCACATTTTTTATGTAACTTACAAATATCTGCACCAAATCAGGAGAAAGGACAGGAAAAAAAAAACCTTACAATTTCCATCTTGTATTTCAGAACTCGGCAAAAATCATCCGCTCGTCTGTGTTTGGGTTTGACCCTAACAACAAGGTGCGGGACAAGTTTGTGTTCCCCCAGAACAACCTGGTCATCACCAGCATCGACATCCAGTCCGTGGAGCCCGTGGACCAGAGGACCCGCGACGCTCTGCAGAAGTCTGTGCAGCTGGCCATTGAGATCACCACCAACTCACAGGAGGCCGCGGCCAGGTGAGACATTGTCTGTGTGTGTCTACAATTAATATTGTGAATACATGTAAGTTTCTACCTTACTTACAAAGACTTTTATTAATGTTTGTCCGTCCGTTTTAGTACATAACTAGGTTTGCAGCAATAAAATGTTATTTTGCGCTTGCATGACCTAATCTGAGTCGTTAGTGCCATAAAACACCTACTGAAACTCAAACTCAAGACATTGAGAACCGCTTTTGTTTTGTCATGTTAGCATCTTAATATTTCGAAATTTCCTTTTAACTTATTTCCTTCTCATTTCTATTCTACATTACTGCTTGCCGTTCTCACAGTTTTCCAGCATGTCTCCATCAAACATTTCACGTACCAATAGCATAATATTGGATCTTGTCTGTTTCATCGAAGTTGTTTGCTACTACAACATAAAACACCAAGGGAAAAAATCAGCAAAGTATTTTGAGATTTTTTCGCAAGAGGAAAAGATCTTGCTGGCTCCCGAGAAATTTCTTTGTCACAATTCGCTTGACACTGTGGTCTTTCTGTGATTCCAGACATGAAGCCGAGCGCTTGGAGCAGGAGGCCAAAGGTCGTCTGGAGCGACAGAAGATCATGGACGAGGCGGAGGCGGAGAAGGCCCGCAAGGAGCTGCTGGAGCTGCAGGCCAATAGCGCGGCTGTCGAAAGCACCGGCCAGGCCAAGGCTGAGGCTCAGAGCCGAGCGGAGGCGGCCAAGATTGAGGGAGAGGCAGCTGTGGAGCAGGCCAGGCTCAAATCTCAGGCCACCAAGATTGAATCTGTGAGTGTCCGCTCTGATGGCAGTTTAGGAGTAGTGATAAATAAATGCTGTTACAACTATGCAAGACTTGTAGAACGAATGATGTATAAATGATCATACAGCTTCGCAACGGTTGCCTGGTTTCAGAGGTAAAATTAGCAAGAAAATGGCCGTCAAAGTTTGGTGACTTCCATAGCTTAAGAGTCCTTGAAAACTTCAAATTTAAATTTGTTTTGCCATTAATGAATGTTTTTCCATAAAATCCACTCATAAAAGTGTTTTTGAATGGACATACAAGGTGTTGAGCCAAAAAACAAAAATTCAAAAAAAATGTCCAAAGTGGCTGAAAAATGCAGTTTTCTCAGATTTAATTACTTTGATTTTTTAATGCTTTTGCATAGTTCTTTTCTCACAACGATGGTGCGATGAGTATAATACACTAATAGATCTAGAGCTTAGTCTGAGTTTTGTGTCCACTCTCCAGGAATCTGAGCTGGAGCGTCAATGATAACTTCATATAGACTTTTGGTACTTTAACATCCTGTTATATTTTGACCATAAGAAAAGTATGAAGGATGAAGGATTTATATTTCCCTGTCCTTCTATTTGCACTCTCATAAGTTTCATACCGATGATGTCTGACACAACTTCTAAATACAAGTACATGCAAGTAAAATTTCCACATTTACAAAAGACTTTTATAAACGTTTGTCATCAGAGTATGTAACTAGGTTTGCAACAATGAAACATTTTTTGGCGTTTACCTGACCAAATCTGAGTCGATAGTGCCGAAAACACCTACTCAAACTCAAACAAACAAGAGCTAATTCTGAGCCATATGTCCACCTGCTTTACAGGAAGCGGAACTGGAGCGTCTGACCAGCGCCCGTGAGGCAGAGCTGAAGTACCTCTCGGAGCAGAACAGGATGGAGCTGGAGAAGGCCACGGAGATGTCCAACATCGAGACCACCAAGTTCAAGGAGATGGTGGAAGCCATCGGAACCCAGACCCTGCAGACCATGGCTACTGCAGGACCTGACATGCAGGTGAGTTCGCATGCCGCACGCCGCACTTCCCCATTCAGATATTATATGTTGTGTTGTGTTGTCAATTTGTGGGTGGTTGGAGGGCGCTCTGGTACGTATGTTTTGCTCCTTTTTTCCCCCCGACCGGTTAAACATCATTCATCCTTATCTCTTCCTTTTTCTTTTCTATTCGGGTGGTTGGCAGGTGCTCCGGTGAGATTTTTCTTCTTTCCTATCAAACATCTATCGCCCTGATCTCTCCTCCCTTTTGTGTTTGTTACTCTTGTACCACCTCAAATTTTCGGCTTTTATGTGACCTTATTGTGTTGCAAGTGCTGTAAAACTCTTAATAAAACTATACTTTCTTTTCTTTGTTACTCTCTAGTAACACCCTAATTTTTGGCACTTATATGACCTATTCATGTTGAAAGTGCCATAAAACTCTTACTAAAACAGGGCCCTTGCCTCCTCATTTTGGTTTCATAACTGTCTGAAGAAAAATAAGACACCACATGGTTTTGTTTCTTTCCTCATTGTGTGAAGCAGAATCAAACAAAATTACAGTCCAACTTGCCCGAAGTTCCACCTGTCCAAGACAATAACCTGTACAAATGACCATTTCCCATATTCCCTTTGCAGTTTTAAGAATTTTTTTACATTGTTGTTATAGTTATAACACTGTGTAAGATGTCAACATGTCTAAAACAATTACTTTTCTCTTCAACATAAATTGGTCGTTGTAGACAATTTCGACTGTATCATGATTATTATTATTTTTAGCAGTAGTAGAAGTAGTAGTAATAGTAGTAGTAGTATTATGTCTATTATTTTTTGTTTTTATTATTATATTAATTAAATCTTGCCTATGTATTTTTTAACTCATGATTTCTTTTTCTCCATCTCAGGTCCGCATGCTGCAGTCTCTGGGTCTCAAGTCGACGCTCATCACCGATGGATCGTCCCCGATCAATTTGTTCAACACGGCCTCAGGGCTCATCGGGGGCCTGGTGCCCAAACGGCATCGCGCCAGGGATGATGATGACGATGACGAGTAAGGCCTGACTTGTCGTCAAACTGGTGCATAGAGTGGAGAGATGTACAAGCAACGCGAGAAGGACATCGCAGCTGTTGTGAAAATTTTGTTATCTTATTTTATTGTCAACTCCTCACTGGATTTTGCACTTGTCGTAAACGTTTGCATTTTATTGTCAATTCCTCACTGTATTTTGCAGTTGTCATAAATATCATTATTTTCTTATCCATTTACCTCAGTGATAACTTCATCAAGCCTTTTGATTGACCCTTTAACGTTCTGTTGTGTTGTGATAGTAATAAAAGTTTGAAGGATTTTCATTTCCTCCCATCTTTTTGCTTCTCATATTGATGTCCGACATAACTGATAACTTTGAGTAACCAAGGTCATATGTAAATGTAACATGTCACATCTGTAGAAGTGTTATATACTTAATGTACAGAAAAACATAATTGTACTCATAACTCATGTGCTCTGACCCATGGCTTGAGGCCTGTTGTTGTTATTAGATGTTATATTTTCAAGCAAGTTTGTAATTTTTTAAAAGTAAAGTTTTGCGTGATTTTTTATATGATACTGTGATATCTCAAAGCTGACAAACACTTCTGGGTCCACTTGTACATGTTGATGTTGAGCTGTTTGTGTGCGGCTATTATCACATTATTGTTGGGGTATAGCTGCTTGCACTTTTCTAAAATAAAGTGTGTATCAACTGCAAACCTGTCTTGTCTTTTTTTGCCCTGTGTTCGTGTGTGGAGGTAATCTCGGGGTTCAGGAAATTTACTTTGCCTGGTTCCTTTTCTCACTGCTGACCTCTCTTCACTTAGATATCTTCGAGGAATAACACATTTTACAATTTAATTGATTGACCTTTCGACTCTAAAAAAAATTCCCCCTTAGCATTCCAAGGATCACAAAGCCTTTACTTATAGCACTTGCTTTTAAAAAAAAATATGTAGGTGTTTTTTACGCCCTTTTTAGCAGGCGAGGAACTGTTTATCATGCAATCTAATTGGGAAAACTAAAATATAAAAGCATCTTGGTGAAGCAGAGCGGGTGGTTGGCGGGTGCTCTGGTGTGGTTTGCTCCTTATTTCCCATCAAACATCTATCGTTCTTATCTCCCCTCCTTCTTGTTTTTGTTTGTTACTCTCGTTACACCTTCAGCACTTATACAGGGTGATCCAAAAAAAATGTTAAGACTTTTTTTCTGAATATCTCGCACAAAAATTGTTCTAGAATGCTGTAATTTGGAACAGACAAAATTCATTCAAAAGGAATTTGTTTGATATAAAATCCACAAAGAAGAAACCTGTTTTGAAAACGGAAACGGCTGAAAGAAAAAAGCACCCAAAAACGCAAAGTTCACCCATGTTTAAAAATCTTGTAAAGGAAGTTGTGAAAAGATTAGTTGACCTTTTTCTGTATTTTCTTTTTGGCAGTAATTTTTTTCCATCCCTGCGACATTTAAACAATATTTAATTTCTTTTACAGAGTTTAAAAAACCTAATGAGTTCATTCTGAAATTCCTAGAAGCAGTGCTCCACATTCCCTCCTCTGGACTCGACACATTTTTAACGCGTCGTCCAAAATGTTCAGTGGCGCAATAACACAAGGACCTGCTAAACCACGAGCTTTTAAAGCCACATACACTGTACATGTTCATTAAGAAGTGGCTTCTAGAGATAATAGAGTGGGGTGCCCAATAGACAGCATTTTTGGAGTTAACATATCCCACGGGGTGAAAATGTGCTTTGCACTAAACCAAATGTCATCGAGGAAATGATCCCTCTTTACAAGACAATCGAGGAATCAAGAACACATTTCCATGCTCTGATCCTTTTCATCTCGGCCTAGCGAAGATGAACAGGGTATAGTCTTAGGTTAAGATCTGCCATGAGAATGCAGACTGTTGATGTGTAGGAAAGTCCTAGCTGCAGATCATCCACGGACAGACGTCTCATGGAACTCGGCTACTGAAATCTGCACTCTGGTGACGTTTATAGGGCTGCGCATGGTGCGTGTTCAACCTCAAGTGGTCATGTTGTTAAAGAACTTTTGAGTTCTGATTCGCTATAGATCCAAACTGACGGAACTTAGGTCTTGAGGGCTCCTTTTAAAAAAAGCATTCTCTCCATGCCGTGCGCAGAACTTACGAAATGTCAGGGATGGTGAGTTTGTGGAGAGGTAATGTTCAATACAAAAGGCTCTCTGCTCTTTACTAAACGTAGCCACGATCTAAGCAGGATAACAAAATTTGGGAAAAATAATATCTACAGACTTCTGTTGACTTGTTAGACTGCTGTAGCTTGCATTATGGCGCGATTGTTGCAACTTTTAGTGGTTGGCCTAATGCGAACTGGTGCGTCATGCTATGAAAATGGTGACAATGTTGAAAATGGGTTGTTTTTTTAATGCGCTATATAGAGCAAAACCATTCAATGGAGTTATCTAAAGTACATATAAGAAAAATTCCTTTTGGCTTTCAAATGTTATGTCCAAATATGAAACACAAAACTTTAGTATGGAGGAAGATATTTAAAAAACAAGTTGTAAAGTTTTTTAGGGATCACCCTATTAGGACATTTGTGTTACAAGTGTCATAACTAAAACTAATCTCTCCTCTCTCAAATTCCTTTTTGACTGAGTGACAGAATTGCTGAGATAACTTCATCATGCTGAAATAACTCGTATGATCATCCAACTTGATCCCCCAAAGGGAGGACATTTCACGTTCTAGTGCACCATTTGATCAAACAATGACAATGCCTAAACTACAACAGGGAATTGCTCCTTTTTCTTTCCTAATCCTTACTATCGTCATTTTCCTCTACTTCTTTCGTATATTTGTCACACTCTTGTGACCCGCTATTTCTGGGGTGCCTTGATAGTCGAAGCAGACTTTGTCCTGCTGAAGCTAGAGAGGTGAGCAAAGTAAGCCCGATTCCCTGTAAAGACTTCTCTGTTTACATCCATCCCTTGGCGCTCATATGACCTTATGCAGTTGTGAGCGCTGTAAAACTTCTACTAAAATTAAAACAAACAAACAAACAACTTGATCCTTGCTCATTTATAGTCACTGGGGTAATGTGTTGGATTTGCCAGAATCGTCCACCATAAATATGATAAAGTCACCGGAAACACACATATCCAAGTCTAGACAATTTCTTTCCCACAGCTGTCCTGTCATTGTCTTCACATGTTGGCGTCTTTAATGGAGTGGAATTTTACTCAATTTCCTCCTTCACAGGTGCAAAATGTGTAACTTAAAAGCCCCCTACAATATTGTAACGTGTTATTTAAGAGGCTGGATCTCTGAATTAAACAGCCATCTCCGATAAGACCAAGCCAGATATACGAGAAAATTTGAGTAAAGTGCCTAACCAAAGGAGACAACGTTGGACTGAGTTGAGGCTTTAACCCCTGAACCTGAACCTTATACCATACAATACAATACAGCTCTAAGAAACATTGGATACCAGACGAACCTTGTGGCATTTGCCTTCCGTTGTCCTTTACGATTACAAACAAATCTCATGGTTATAGGTCCAGTAGCCAAATCACCAGACTGTTGAGACTACCAACACCATTTACTTCACAAGAGTAAGGCTGAAAATATACTGTCGTCATGCACAACTGAAGTGCGCTGCGAAAAAAAGTTGTGCCCTCCTCTTTATTTCCTGACGGAGATTTCACTGACACAACGAGACGTGAGGACCCAAAAGACGTGCATGCCTGTCCCCGTGGTTTTATGCACCCCGCATAATTTAGCCAAATTCGATCATTTTTTGGCATAATTTCTGATTATTTTCCTTTATCACTCTTTGTTAAAATTAACAGAATCGCATAATTTCACATTTTGGGGCTCAGTTTGCATAATTTCAGGAATTTTTCTTGCATAAAACGACGGGGACAGGCATGCGTGCATCACTTCTTTTTGGCGTTCAGACAGGCTCGCCCTGCTATCGGAGTGTTCTGGGACCCCGTGGAGACAAATGGGGGGGGGGGGGGGGGGGGGAGGAGCAACCACTGAGCTGTAATCGCCTGCTCAGCGCCATTTTTTAAATAGTTGGACGGAGTCGCGCTGACCTATGGGATCACCACTTCCGACCTAGCTGCTCGTCCGTCTTGTGGTGCACTTCAGTTGTGCGTGGCAATATATTTTCAGCCTAACAAATTTTTTGAAAGCATATAGGCATCACTGAATTCATCATAATTCATGCCCAGGAAACAGACCAGCAGTTTAATATAAGGAAAAATAACATGAACTTTGATTTGGGGAAACGGACAAAAAGTCTGAATTTTCTGAAATCCTGCCACTATAGGTATGTGAAGGATGCCACAAATAACTCCTTTATTTTTATGAGACCTCTGTTGTTTTTATCTTGCTTTTATACAAGCATTAAGAAGAGTATCATGACAAGGCTCTGTCTTTTTTTACAGTTACAAGTCCCAACATTGCAGCGTTTTCACTCCGCTAAATAGAACATGTCTGTCCAAATCAAAGCTGACAAAAATGCCTTTTTAAATTTTTGGCACCAAATTACTTTTTTTATTAGCTAAATCAATAGCCTGATCAGTCTTGTGTGACAAAATTAAAGTGAAACTGTAACTAGTTTTAGTTAATAAATTAGAATTGAAATTTCAGAACAATGCCTTTTCTTTAATGGTTACCCTGACAAAATACCTTTTTTCTTGAAACTATTGTGATTTTTAAAAAAAGTACTTTATCAGCCGACAGCAGATGTGAATTAAATAGAAGAACACTATGTTAACGTTTAAGGGCCTATAAAAGGGACTGTATGCTTCCCAGGAAGTTCAGATTGTTTAATTAAGAATGCTATCAGGTCTGCTGGGGTAAAAACATAGATTTTAAAATACACAGAGCTTGATGTTGAGCGGGAATTTTGGGCTATAAAAATGCTACTTATTTTTTAATCTAACGATTTTTGGACAGCATCTGCTGAAATCATAATGTGTAAGAACATAACGTCAATTTCAAACTTCCGGTTCCATTTTCCAAACAACAGGAGAAACCTGGTATGTGGTGTAAGAGTAATGGTTAGGCTCTTCATTGTTGCATGCGAATGACTTGGGTTCGATTCCGGTTTGGGGAAGTAATTTTATGGAGCATGATCTATCTCAGTTGAGATGCTGTATCCCACCCACTCAGCCCAGGTGAGCACGGACAAACAAGATCAAATCAGCCCACCCCTTAAATGATTTAATTGTGGTAAACAGGCTGTAAATCTTTTATAATCAACAAAAACAGGAGTAGAAAAAAGAAAAAGTACAGTTGAACCTCCTCTAATGGCCACCCGTATAAGACAATCAGCAGTACAAACAGCCACTTTCGACTTCCTCCTTCCCACAGTTTTTCTTTACATTATAATGACACTGTTTAAGACTTCCAAGTCTAAGACGCCCACTTTCTCCTTGGCAATGGGAGGCCATCTTGGACAATTTCAATTGTATTTGTATCTACACTACACCGCAAATGCAAACATTACCAAGCTGATGTATAGAAAAATCCTTGCCAGCAAAAAGAACCCTGCATGCTTTAAGGGTTAAACATGTATACTATATACTGAAAAGTGAAAGCTAAGCCATGAGCTGAGTTGACGCACAAAATGCCATGGAAAAAAACCCCAAGCAAAGTGCCCAGTGGATCACTTTTCAAACATGATAAAATAAATGAAAGACACTGTCCAAGAGAACCGCCTGTCAAAGATAATCACTTTCTCCTCGACAGTGGGTGGTCGTTTTGAAGAGGTTTGACTGTATTACTAAAAGTTAGTAAAAAGGTCTGATCTTTCTGTGGAAAAGGCTCTATTGTTCTTTTCTAGCCTTCTACTTTTTTTTTGTGGAACTTCAAAGGAAATCAAGCTCAATACACATTATTATGCAAAGTAAAAGGAAATCAAGCTCAATACACATTATTATGCAAAGTAAAAGGAAATCAAGCTCAATACACATTATTATGCAAAGTAAAAGGAAATCAAGCTCAATACACATTATTATGCAAAGTAAAAAACCAAAAAAGTTTTCTTTAAATGAAATGACATTTTAATACATAAATACAACAAATACACTTAAATCTCCATATATTCAATTCCATTGCCAATCCAAGCAGTACAGCTCATCATACCTCAGACATTCATGTATCATATTTTACACAATTCTCACAGGCAGACATTCACATTCATTTTTCGGTCAATGCACAATCCACTACCAACACACGTACACATACACATGCGAGCACGTATCCATACACAAACTACATGAAAAGCAGAAATGTCAGTCGTAAAGTTCACAAAGTCATCTACACTTCACACAAAGACATGTACCCTTCGTTTAAAATCATCTACACTTCACACAAAGACATGTACCCTTCGTTTAAAATCATCTACACTTCACACAAAGTCATCTATCCTTCACACAAAAACGTCTACCCTTCACACACAATCATCTACTCTTCAGTCAAAAATGTCCAGCTGAGGAATCAGAGTGTTGTTGCAGATGGCCTTGGCAGCAATCTTCCGCCCAGAGACGGTGGAGAGGTCACAGATGTGGAGAATGTGATCGTCGCTGAACACGCCAGGCAACGACCTCATCAACTGGTTCAGCTGAGGAGGGGAGAGACAGAGACAACAAAATCCTTTACTCAAGTCTTACACACTAAAAGATGAGCTCAGTTTTACAAAGTTTTACAGCACTCGCAACACAAAAAATAGGTTACATAAGTGCCAAAGATTAGAGGCGCCACTATTATTCAAAGAAGACGAGGAGAGACAAGGATGACCGATGTTTGATAGGAAAGAAGGACCAAACCACACCAGAGCACCGCCAACCACCCACAACGAAAAATGAATATGTGTTTCAATGGTCCATTTGTTAAAAGTAGAGAGAGCTTCTCAACATAATGATGGTCTCATTCAATGGTCTATAAAAACAAAATAACAAAAACTTCAAAGGGAGAAGAAAGCACCACAGATCTGCAAACCCAAAGTGACAACAACAACAAATCTCACGACAAGGGAAAGAGAACTTGGGTCAAACAACAGGATTTTTACATTATCAAAGCTCCAAATACCATCCTTAGTTAAACAAAAAAAATGTCATTAATTATATTTTAAAATAGCTCAAAGAATTGCAGCTCGTTCTATTCACCGCAAGTTGATAAGTCTCATCGAGTGAACAATAACATGGTAAAAGGCAAACGTTTTATTTTTGCTGGGTTTTTTGGGGGGTTTTCAGCACATGAAGCTTGTGGCACACTCCTCACCATATTCTGTGGCATAAACTGCAAGATGAATCGGGTATGCTGCCCCCCGCACTTGATGGCCTCCTGAATGAAGGACACGATGAACCAGGTCCGTGGAGTCAGAGAGTGGTTCAACAGGATTGTGTTCATCATCATAAACAGATTCACTGGGGGGGAAAAAAGGAGGGAGAAGAAACAGATATATGCTGTTTGTGATCCAAATCTGAGTGCTACATGTACTTCTACAGTCAAATAAAATATACTCTAACGGTAAAATTAAAAGTAAGATAGTTAATTTTTTTATAACCAAAAGTCAGCATTTACATACAAATGATTTAAAAAACCTACACATACTCTTTCATACATATCAGAACTATCTTAATTGTCAAATATCAGGGCTAAAAGCAACAGTAAACGTCTGATAGTTGATTTTCATACTTTAACTCTGAGTCAACATTTTAAAAATTTATTCAGCCCATTTACACTGCATTTGAACACAACACTTTCTTGTGAGCAGCAAAAAAAAACAAAACAACAACAACAAAAAAAAAACCTTGTTAAGAAACTTGTGACTACCCTCATAAACTTTAGCTTAAACCCAAATCAGTTGGCCAGAAAAATTACAGGATGTCGAGACACAGAGCAGCTTCTATTCTGTGGCTTCTTAGACAAGACAACATAACAAATCCACCTTCATATGCGGTGAAAATTACTTTCTTTTAGAGCAAAGGAAACTTTTCATCGTAACTTTAAGTCTGTCCTTACAATCATAGTGTGATCAAACAGGAGTAGGCAATATGATCCATTACATCAATAATGTTCCTCGTAGCTCAAGAACACAAACGACTCTGGGCTCAGGGTACCATTAATCCTAATTTACTCTTCTCTTTTGCCAAGACATTTCACTTTATGTGACAGCTATGATATACAGTCAAAGCTACTCTAATGACCCGCTGTCCTAGACAATCATCTATACAAACAACCGCTTCCCCATTTACATTCTTTTTTATATCATAATGACACTGTCCAACGTGTTAACCTGTCCAAGACAAACACTTTTCTCTTAGGCAAAGGATGGCTGTCTTGGACAATTTCAACTACATTTTATAACTGCATTTCTGTGACAGCTTTGATTACTAAAATACTGAACAAAAAATGGACCGTGAAAGGGAAGTTGGTTTCTTCAGCCCTTGAGCCCAGATCCTCCAAGTCTGATAGAACCCATCCACCTGAGCTTCTTCGTGTCTTCTGACAGAGTCACACCATGGCACGCTTAGGTCGGTGTTTGAGTCCATAGGTTTAAGCAATTGTAACAACAGATCTACGTACCCAAAGCTTTGTTTAAAGGTTCTTTCATGTCAAAAGTGGGCAAGGCTTCCCCATCTTCTTTTTCAGCTAAGGCCTCTGGAGAAAAAAAACAGACATAGAAATTTTAATTTTAGTAAGAGTTTAACAGCCCATGCAACTACAACATTAAGGTCATATGAGTGCCAAAGATTAAAAGTGTTACGAGAGAGAGCTGTTTAGTTTTAGTAAGAGTTTTACGGCACTTGCAACACAATAAGGTCATATAAGTGCCGAAGATTAGAGATGTTACAAGAGAGTAACAAACATAAAAAAGGAGGAGAAATCAGGACGAAAGATGTTTGATAGGAAAGAAGGAGCAAACCACACCAGAGCACCCGCCAACCACCCACTACGAGAGTGCAACAAACACAAATAAGAAGGAGGGAAGATAAGGAACATAGATGCTTAATAGGAAAGAAGGAGGGTGGTACATGTTATAAAATAGAAATTGAGGAGTGCCAATTCCAGTTCTAACGGGACAATTTCATAAGGCAGATCAGAATTCTGGAGAGGAGAAATTTTCTAAGTGTTAAATGATGGTGCAGTGAATGCATGAGCAAAAGTCTCCAAGAATCTTTTTAGATGGCTTCATAGGACAAAACGAATGTAAACTTGCCTGTAAAGATTTGATGAACATTTTTAAGCCACATTTTCTTCAAGATAAACAAAGACAAACAATCTGGTGTTTATTCGCTATTGAAAATATTCTGAAAGAGAGGGGCATCATATGACACACTAAAGTTATGACAGGAAAGATAAAAAGGAGCCTGCTTCATTTCAATAAGTGATAATGAGAAACACTTATTAAGACTAGATAAAATGTGACGACACGTGACTGTTTTGTGAAGGATTCCCCGATTTCTGTTAAGAATACAAAGGCGTTGAAAGGGTGAGGGGGGGAAGGGCAGAAAGACAGGCTCAATGTAATGATAATAATATGCACCATAAATTGTCGGGAACAGATAGCCTAAGTAAGAGGAAACTGTTGATGATAGTCATAGAGACAATGACCCAGCCAAGTGGCTTTCCAAGCGACCACCCCCGACCGTAAATTCATGGATGACATCAGAATCATAGAACTCTACATTCAGAGAAACATTTCTCTTGTGATTCGTTGAACAAGTATGATAAGTTCTTCGAGCACAGTTGCTTAGGCTTACTTGACTAATCTTTAATCCTATAGAGGCCTATCTAGTGTTTTACAGCATTCACGCGTGTTGCGCATCATAGGCCTAGGTCTAACTAAACATTACATAGTCACTCAAACACCAGTCAGAAACCTTCTCTCCAAGATGCATTACCGGTGACCAATCAAAAAACATTTCAGTTCCCCAACCCCCCAACATTTCACCAACCAGTCCTAGACCTATGAGTCTGTGGAAAGTTGGGTGTGAAAACACTGTCCATCACTCTCTTTGTTCGGCGTAAGGGGCAGTCTCACCAAATAATAAGACCATTTGTCTAGGCTTGTCTTACGCAAGCTGTGCAGGTTGTAGTGAGGACCCTTTGTCAAAGTCAAGCTTTACCTGTCGGCGTGTTTCGAGGACCGGAGCACGCGTTTAGAGGGAGTGACTGGGTTTGTACGTCTAAATCATATTGTATAAAATCCGTCATATGACGAACGCGCGTGTTTGAGCGAAGCGTGCTTTTAGGCGGAGACTACAGTATTAGGATGAAAGAGGCAAAGAGATGTAAACCAAAACATAAAATGTTACACCCATGCTACTAGGGGTTTTGTTAAAGAGAGTCATCAACTCGGTACTCAAGTGAAACTAACCTAGATTGAATTCCTCTAGACTGAATGTGAGCTGAGGTTCGGAGAACTTGCGAAGTTTTGCAGGGGACGTCTCAGAATCATCCAAGTCCTGAAAACAGAGACACAAAATTTGGTAAAACAAATAAACAAACACACTGAACTGCTATATGTAGTGAAAAAAATATTTCCACTATAGTTTAGTTACGTTTCATTACTTTTAATGCACTTGCAACACAATAAGGTCATATAAGTGTCAAAGATAAGAGGGGTTAGTTTAGTTTTAGTAGAGGTTTTACGGCGCTCGCAACTGCATAAGGTCATATGAGAGCCAAGGGGTGGATGTCAACAGAGAATCCTTACAGGGAATCAGACTCACTCTGCTCACCTCTCTAGCTTCAACAGCACAAAGTCTGCTTCGACTATCAAGGCACCCCGGAAATAGCAGTTCACAAGAGAGAGACAAACATACAAAAGAAGTAGAGGGAAAATGACAATACTAAGGATTAGGAAAGAAAAAGCAGTAGTTCCCTGTTGTAGATCAGGCACAGTTATGAGCATGACATAGATGAATCAGCCCATTTACAACTCTACTGTGCATCAACGAGAAATGTCCCCCCTTTGGGAATGGCCTAAAGACACTTCAGTCAGTGGCATCGCCCCAGGGGGTATAAGAGGTGTTAAAAGACGGTAACAAACACAATTAAAAAGGAGAAGAGATAAGGACGATAAATGTTTGATAGGAAAGAAGGAGCAAACCACACCAAAGCACCCTCCAACCATGCACTGCTGTATGTTTTGAGAATCTATTCCCAATATAAGAAGCTGATGGGGAAAAAAACAACCCAAGCATTTGACAGAGACACAAAACTACTGACTTTTAAATTAAAAGACCTAATTCACTTAGAAAGATTAAACACAAATTCATTGACTGTTTCTAAAAAATAACTAATGACATCTGAATGTGTGACTTATGTAAGTTCTAAGTAAAAATATGCAATAAAATAAATAAATATCAACATCTGTTTCCCAAAGCTTTGTTATCACTCTTTAGACATCAAATCTCACTGGCACACAAGGATGAAGTATTTTTAAAAAGATAAGCAAGACAACACACATCACATCTTCCAGGGACAAAGTATAAAAGACATAGGCTTTAGACTATAGACAAGACAATATGATTAACATTTTACAGTGATAGAAGACACTATAGACTTCACGCTACAGACAAGACAGCACAACTCACATCTTCCAGATCTGCCTCCACCACAGTGCGCTTGTGTAATCGTCTCACATAGACATCTAGAGGGAAGAAACACAAGACCCACATCACTGATTTGTTTGTTTTTTCTTAATATAGGTGTTTTTACACACCAATCAACACAATTTATATAATTTAGGAGGCTGATTTAAGACCCTCCCTGTCAGAGCCAATCTAGGCTGAGAAGGATACAACAACCCAGTAAAAAGATCAAGATACCCGGTACTCTGAGAAGGATACAACAACCCAGCAAAAAGATCAAGATACCCGGTACTCTGAGAAGGATACAACAACCCAGCAAAAAGATCAAGATACCCGGTACTTGGTAAATATTTCTCCCCACATTGGAATCAAACTTGGAACACATTAGTCACGGCTTGCCAACTTCTTCAAAACTTTATCAGGGACACCCATCGTTATAACATTAGACTGTGTAACAACCAACAAAGTTACATCAAGTGGGACTGGTTATGGTGAAGTAACCGTAACAAAAATAGGGAAACAGTGACTCTCTGCATCCACCTCACTCAATCCTATAAGAAATTAACATTCATTTCGGAAGTCCTGCCCTTAACTCTATCCTGGTCATTTTGTACCTCCGGGGTTGTATTCTTCACATTTTAGAATACTTCTAGAACGAAGATCTCTTCGGAACTTTCAGTATTTCTCAAAAAATCATTTTGACAGACTGCTATGCAAAGCATACGGATCAGATTAACAAGTAAATTTCCTCTTTGGAAATGAGTGGCATAGAGTTCCCCACGCCGTGTGGATACGATAGTAAAACACGACGTACGGATAGGGTAAAACAACCATACAATGTTGAAAGGGGTGTTTTATCCTTATATAACCCTTGCTTATAGCTGTAAAGCACATAATACATGCTGTAGAGCTACATTAATGCAATTATTATTATTATTTTTATTTATTATTATCATCATCATCCAGTGCCAGATCTGCGACAGACATCGGCGATCATGGTTCCCCATTCATTCCCTCGCTCGGATGCTCTTAAAAAAAAGCTACATTTCCCTGATCTTTCGCCATTACCCATTTCTTTAGGTTCCCTAAGTAGGTTGCTCTGGGCCTACTCCTGCCTCATTTGTCTTCGATTTTGCCAGTGAGAGCTAGATGTTCAAGACCTATGTCTATTCAGGAGCCCCAAAAACTGCATTTGTTACTTCCGCTGATTGTTTTGAACAGTGGGCGTCCCATGAGGGCTTCATCAAGCACTACCTCATTTGATTTCTTTTCCTTCCATGGACATTCTCAGCAGTCTCCTAAGAAACCACATTGCTGTTGCTTCTATTTTATTTTCACAATTAATTTTTATAATCATCGCGAATAACAAACCACTCCATTTGAAGGATAAGAGAAGCAAGCCGTTACCTTTCTGTCCAATCTTCGATGTGTGCGTGGCAGTGACGCTGAGCACGCAGAGCTTGGCCAGGCAGTAGCCGCGTGGGTCGGTGAGTGTGTTGGTCTGTGGGGTGGTCAGCAGCTGGGGCAGCACGCGCTGCAGGAGGCTGATGGTCAGCCGCTCCAGGTCCAAGTGCATGATGGCGAAGGCAAGGCTGAGGGACTGCGACATGTCGTCAATGTGGCTCTGCTTCAGGAGGTGCTGGAGGAGAAAGACATTGATAAAATTGCCGCCTTTTTGTGTGGGGCTGCTTCAGGAGATGCTAAAGACAAGGACAAGAACTGTACTTTATTTGTTTGTTTGAGTAAAATGAAACACTTTGATACATCACCCGTTAGTACAGGGACTACTACATGTTGTTTATGTGGCTCCACTTCAGAAGATACTGAAGAAAAGAAATCGATAAAATAGCAGCTTTTTTGTGCAGGACTGCTTTAGGAGATGCTGAAGAAAAGGACAAAATTACAGGGGCACTCAATGTTATACCATTGGATTACATAACAACGAAATAACATCAAGTGAGACTGTATGAGGTGTAGTGTATCGTGACCTCAGTGCTTACTTGTCGTAGCTCCATTTTTTTCAACAGTGAAAATGTGACATCTTCTTGAGCTCACTCTTTGTTATGAACTGTTTTCACTGGTATTAAAAATGGAGATATGACAAGGAAAGCACGGGGGGCGCTGTATGTGGTGATAAGGCTCTCAAATCACCAAATCCCCAGGACAGTCACGCGGGGAAATTCGGGACAGCCCTCACGCTCGCAATTCAAACACGACCAGTTCACAACCCCTTGGAGTTCTCTCTCTCTTACCTCCACCATCTCCCTGCAGAACCAATCAGGGCCGCGCAGGGCCAGCAGCTGCTCCAGCGTGTGCAGAGAACACATGGTGAGCCACCCCCGGTGGAACGACTCCTTCAGCGTCTCGTTCATGATCTCGCTGCTCAGCTTCTTGTTGGACAGCAGGTAGCGCCGCAGCGGTCGCTGGGGGTGGCCCTCGGGCAGGATGTCGAACACGATGTTGTCGATGATCACCTGCACTGGCTGCTTGCTGGGAAACGGAACGTCATAATAATAATGGTACTAAAATTATAATATTAATAGTAATAATAATAATGGTAATAATAATAATTGTAATAATAATGATACTAATAATAATGATAAAGGTAATAGTAATGATGGT